CTTTGTGTACCTTGCTGTGCACGTGAGAGCACACACACGCACATCCCGGACGCATTTGCTTACAGATCCCACCAAGAATAAAGACTCAGAGATTGGACATGAATGTAAGCTTTCCTTCCTTGGAAACATAGTTATTTTTATGGCAGCACTTCTAATCTTATTTTCCCTCAACTTGCTGAGGAAACGCAGCCATTTTCCTGCCTGAAAATCGGATATTAACACCCTACTCAAAGCCTAGGGTTTGTAAAATTCTAGGAAGAGCTCAGTTGGCCAACCTCCTATGGAATGCAGTGTTCAGTGTGCATTTATTTGTTTGTTAAGCCCCAAAGAAATGCTGAGAATCTAAGGATGCGGGGGATGGGCATGTCAAAAGGACTCAGGATCCAGCCTAGAGGAGTTCCACTGGTTAGCTTTGGATTCATATGAGCATTGAGCATATCCACAATGACATGGATAGATTAAAACACATTGAATAAATAGAACATATTAGTTTACACTGATGCTAAATTATTTTAAAAGAGATAAGAAGGGAAAGCTCTTTACAAGAGATGCCAAGGAATATAAGCAAGAGGAATAATAGAAAATATCCTTATCAAAACCACCATGGTAATAACAGATTCAGGCAAGACTCATCAATGGATACTAAACTGCTGGGTGGGAGATTGCTGGGAAAAAGAATATTCACACGGTCCCAAGTTGCCCACCTATTGCCATTTATCAATTACAAAGGGAGGAAAATACCTCAACACCTTGACAATGGAGAAATCTAGCAGGCATCACCTTGATCAGCAAACCAAAGCTCATATGAGGGCAATAATGGGGGCAAACTGTTGTCAGCGGCCTTCCAGTGTGAAGCCTCAAGAATGACTCACACTGACAGCATATTGTTGCCAAAAAGGTTTAATGTGAGTTTAATCATGAAGCTACAACTGGACAAATCCACATGGAGGGAGATTCAGCAAAGCTGCCTGCACTCTCAGAAGTGCCAATGCCATGAAAGAGAAAAAAAAAAACTATCCAAATAACTCTAGCTTGAAGGTGTATAAAGAGTCATGACAACTCAACGCAATGTGTGGTCCCTGAACGGGCCTCATATCAAACAACAACAATGACTGGGACAAATAAGTCAAATCTGAATAGAAATCTGAATATGGGCTGAGTATTAGATAGCAGGATGGTATCAATGTTAAATTTCCCGAGTGTGAAACTTGTGTTGTAGTCCTGAAGATGAATGCCTGGTTCTTAGGCAATATTGCTTAGGAGTGAAGTGACATGATGTCTACAACGAATTCTGAAGTAGTCCAGAGAAAAAAGTGCATGCATATATGCGTGTTGGAGAGAGTGAGAGAGCTCAAGTGAGTGATATCTTTATAACTGGTAATGGCAAACCTTTATACGGTGTTTACAGGGCTATACTTAGAATTTTCCTAAGATTTGAAACTATCAAAATGTAAAAGGAAGAAAGAAGCACTGCTGTGGCCCAGGCCCTCTCTGGGGACAGGGATGGTGCAGTGGACACGGGTGGCTTCTGTCTGCCCACAGAAGGGGCTGTCAAAGTTGGGTCCTATGCCCAGCAGTAGGCATGCGGTACAGGCCCGGCCAATCAGGATGCGCCGTGCAGCTGCCCGCTGTGATTGGCTAGGGATGATCTGAACCAGCCAATCAGAATCCTCCCCTGGGATCTTCTAAGTGAAGTGTCCAGGGAAGTTCCCTTTACTCTGAAATCAGGCAGCTGTAGCCTGTGGTCCCTGCACTTCTCAGAGACTCTCCTGGCTTGAGAATGAAGTAAGAATTCAGAAGTGGACACAGCTGAGCAGCCTGGGGGGCAAGGGCCTGGCAGTATCAAGCGTTTGCTTCTAGGTCCTGAGACCTCTGGAACTGCCAGGGTTCTAGAAGTTCTGAACTCAGTTCTGTGGTGTAGTTACAATGTAACAATGTTCTATGTAAATGACGAGAAGACAAGGTCTCTAAGAATGTGTTATGGAAAGTCACAGAGGACAGGAGAAAAGTGTGTGTGTGTGTGTGTGTGTGTGTGTGTGTGTGTGTGTGTGTGAGAGAGAGAGAGAGAGAGAGAGACAGTGAGAGAGAGAGAGAGGGAGGGAGAGAGAGAGAGCGAGCAAGCATGCACACGTGTACTATGAAAAGCTTTCTTAAAAAGGCATAATTTAAGCTGGACCCTGCAGGAGAGAGAAGGCTCTGAAAGGGATGATATTCCATGTGGATGGGACAGTTTGCCTCTTACAGAGGCAGGTAAGAGAGGGATACACAGGGGAGTGTCCCGAGCCCTGAGATGGTCTGGCTTGGTGGGAGTATGCTACCCTGGACGGAGTAGCAGGAGGGAAGAGATGCTGTCAGGAACAGACCAGGAAGAGTTCTAAGGCCATACTCAGGAGTCTGCACCTTACCTTGTGGGCACAGCAAGTTTCTGATGAGAGGAAAATCCTGATCAGACTAGCCTTTGGGCACAGCACTGCCACTGTGCCATTAAGAGCCGGCACTCTTGGGGGCAGGGAGGCAGAGGGATGAGTTTCCCAAGCACAAGCTCATTTATTTCCCCTGAATAACTTCCACCCAACACCGCCATAAAATGGCATATTTGCATTCTCCCCATTGCTTTGTTTTCTAGAATTTGCAGAGCACATTTAGTAGAAAGAGTGCTTAGGATACACATTAAGGAAGAATTGCAGTAATACTTCCTCAACCAGGGACAGTGTGTCGGATGGTAAAAAAAAAAAAAAAAATCCTGCTCTGGGCTGGGTGTGGTGGCTGATGTCTGTAATCCCAGCACTTTGGGAGGTCAAGACAGGAGGACTGCCTGAGCCCAGAAGTTCGAGACCAGCCTGGGCAACATGGTGAGACTGTCTCTACACTTAAAAAAAATTCCTGCTCTGGAGTCAGACAACTTTTATTTGAAGCCCAGCTCAGCAATCTGCCCTTTGGTGATTGGGTTAACTTCTGCAAGCCTCAGTTTGTCTATCCGTAGAACGGGGGGAGATAACTGAAACAACTCATGGGATTGCTGGCAGGATTAAAGGAGACCATCACAGAGTACACCGTAACGCCTGCCGTAGAACACATTCTCTTTCATCGCCAGCGGTTATCATTTTCATTACTATCGTCAGTAGCCGAACCCTGTCTGCTACCTGGATGTCTACCGGGGCAAAAGCTGACTGTGTCCAAAGGTAGCCCATTCCATTGTTGGGTAAACCCGCCTGATCCTTCCGGTGAGTCGGAAGCTGCTTCTATACGTCACCCACTCTTGCATCCAAGCAGTGCCAGGGCTCCCAAAGAGCCACTCTGAACCAGACAAAGAAACGACTCTCCTCCTCCTGGGTCCTGCCTCCAGCTCCCTCCTGGGAGAGGCCACGGGCAGACTGGGAGCCTGGCACCACGCACACTCATGGTATGCCACCTGCATACTCTCAGTGTCTCACTCAAGCATGTCCGCCGTCTGAGAAGACAGATGCTGTCAACACTTCCCTGGAGTTGCCAGGTGGCAGTCAGGAGCAGCTCTGAGCCCCCAACTGAAAACCACTGCAAGAACTGCCCGGGGAAGCCCTCTGGTTCCCTCTGGTCCCCTCATGAGCTTCCTGGAAAATCCAAGGCCCAGAGGGGCCAGCCTTGGAGGGCCTCTGGCTCGCCCGTCCAGGTGTCCCCTCTTCAGAAGGGGACGGTGGTCCTCCTGCCCTGGGCTCTCTTACTCCCTCTTTTCCCAATGTGGCCACACGACACCAGCCAGTCCAGTCCAGGGGTGAGATAAAAATACTGTGTGTGGGGGGGGGGATGGGGGAGATAGTTAGTCACCCCAGACTCTGTCCTCCAGGCTTCCCAAAGGAAGGGACGGTTCTCCAGGAAGGACAGATCCTCAAGCAATTAAACCTCCTCCTCTCATCTGCATTCCTGTCCCTTGGCAGATCTGTATCAACATCCCCAGGGCAAGACAATCTTGTTTCCCCAACAAAACCGATTATGCACATCAGGCCCGGGATTAATCACCAGCCACGGGGTTGAAGCCAATAAAAAAGGCAGAGATGGGCAGATAGGAGCAGAAAGAGGGAGCGCACCCTAACTCTGCAGTCTTGAGGAAAGGGTGCCAGTTGGACGGCCGGGGGCTGCTCAAGACCCCACAGCCGCGCCTGGTGAGACCCTGCGGTCTCCCACTCTTCTTTCTCCCCATGTGACGGTGTCCCCGCAGGGACACAAATAGGGTGTGACGATACGTGGGCGGGTCATTTCCAGTTCCACTGGAATTGTCCCCAAATAGATGTCCCCTCCTTTGCAGAATCCAGGTTGCCACGTGCCCCACCCTCCAGTTAACTTGGGTTAACTTCTGCAAGCCTCAGTTTGTCCATCTGTAGAATGGGGGTAGATAACTGATACGACTCATGGGATTGCTGGCAGGATTAAAGGAGACCATCACAGAGTGCACATCACAACGTCTACCATAGAACACACTCTCTTTCATTGCCAGCGGTTATCATTTTCATTACTATCGTCAGTAGCTGAACCCTGTCTGCTACCTGGATGTCTTCAGGGGCAAAAGCTGACTGCGCCCAAAGGTAGCCCATTTCCAGTTCCCTCCAGCGGACCCAGACCCTCCCGTAGAGCCCCCTGGAGTGGCAGGTTCTTCTCAGCGGGGAGTTTAGGAAGGGACTCTGGCCACAGCCACAGCCACAGCCACAGCTGCTGGCAGAGAGAGCCCCTGTACCTCAGCCACTCTCTCTGCCCCTGTACACTATGATATGGGTCCCGCAGTCTGGGCAGCAGCCCCGGCCCACTACCCAGCCATCCTCTGCTGGGGTCAACAGGGCGGGGCTGTCTCACCCCCGGGCCAGACGGCCTTTGCCCCAGTTTCGTTGCTCCAGCCTCCCAGAGCACGAGAGTGGGAGTCAGAAGCTGAGCCCGCCCCACCTCCCCAGCGACACATAGTCCCCCCCACCACACCCCTCAGGGCGGGGCAGTGGCCCTGGCAGCCAGGAGGAAGGGGAGGAGCGAGTTACCGGTATTCCAGGGAGAACTTGGTCAGCTCTCTGTTGTTGTGCAGCCACTTGAACTCCAGTGGCCAGCTGCCTTCCGCCATGCACGTGAGCACCAGGCGGTTCCCTTCCAGGTGCACCTGCGTCCGCACCGGCTCCGTCTTGAAATACGGGGGCACGTCATCTGCGGGAGACAGAGAAGCAAAGCCACTGTCACCACCTGCTCACCTGCATGCCTCGGCTGGTTCAGGACCCTCACGCCCCCAGGCGGATGGGGCAGGGGCAGCCAGGCAACTTGTCCAAGGTCACATGGCTGGGAAGGACTTGAACTGGGGTCAGTCTAACTCCAAGGCTTGGTTATCACTGTGACTGCCCACGCCTACCAACCAGAGCCCTGCCTCCCTGCTGCCCGGATCACGCCGGGCTCACTGCCCTGCCGCCATCTCACTCTCCGGCACCTTCCATCTGTTCCTGCCCTGGTTGCCTGGCCATTCCAGCCCCTTCCCTCCTGGGTTTCTCGATCCAGGGGAGAAGGTGGGGGCGGGGGACACTGACTGTGCCTCAATCAAAAGGCATATAACTGTCACAGGAAAACAGGGAGAAGGCAGGCTTGGTGGCTCAGCCTGTCATCCCAGCACTTTGGGAGGCTGAGGTGAGTGGATTGCCTGAGCCCATGGGTTCGAGACCCGCCTGGGCAACGTGGCGAGACCTCCTCTCTACAATAAGTCAAAAATTAGCCGGGCGTGGTAGCGCGCGCCTGTAGTTCCAGCTACTTGGAAGGCTGAGGCAGAAGGATCGCCAGAGCCCAGCAGGTCGAGGCTGCGGTGGCCGGGAGCGGCCACTGCACTCCAGTCCGGGCGACAGAGGGAGACTCCAACTCAAAAAAAAAAGAAAGAAAACAGGGAGGTGGGTTGAGAAGATAGGAATCTTCTGAGTCCTGCTCCCCCAGCCTGGGGGAGCACCTCAAGGTCTATCCGGCGGGTCCTCTGCCACTGGGCAGCTTGCTCCTTTTGTCCTGGGCCAGCCTGCCTCTACCACCTCATTTGTGCCCAGTCAGTTGCCTGGGCAGAGGAGGCACCGCTGCTTGGGCTGTGTGTGGGGGGTGGGAGGGCGAGCGGTCACTGTGGGTCTCCACAGATTCACCCTCACCCCTTGGCCTGATGGTTAGCCCAGCCGAGCACGACCCTCCCCACCCCCCATGCTCCCCCGACAGAGACAATGGACGTTGTTGGCCCTGGACTTCCAGAGACGGCTCAGACCAACCGCTGCCGATGGAAAGGGTGGGAATGGAGCCTCTGTCCTCTGGGTCAGGGAGGGGGTGGAAGGGAGTATGGATAAGAGGGAGACAGGATGGTGGGGGATGGGGAAGAGGGAGGGACTCTAAGCCTATCCTTGACATCTGCCTTCTGGGGTGGGTTGGGCCTGGAGATAAGAGCCAGCATTTGTAGTAACAGTCACAAGGGTCACTGTGCTTGCTCCAGGGTCTCTCATATATATGCTCGTGTAATCCTCCTGGCAACCCCACGACTAGACAGGATTAGAATCCACATTTTAGAAAGCGCACACCCAGGCCCCGAGGGATTAGAGACCTGCCCATGGTCATATAGCCGGGTGGGAGGGGCTGAGCCCCACAGACCAGCTGCAGAGGCCAAGTGCTTGAGCCCCGGTGACTCCCTCTGGGAAGCAGGAACTCAGCAGGAGGAGAGGCATCAGGCAAGAACGAATCAGGCAAGAACCCACAGACACCCGGAGTTGGGGTCCTTGCACTGGATAGACAGGGGCGTGAGTTCCAGAAAGCCCCACCCAGTGGCACTCCCTGGTGAGCACCCCTTGCCATGTGCTAAGAGCTTGACTGGGGCCAGGACCAGGCTGCCAGCCCAAGTCCACACACCTTCCAGTGACCACACTGTGCCCAGAGGGGTGAGACATGCTGAAAGCCACACAGGAAGCTGCTGGCAGGGCAGGCCCTGGGCATCCTGACCTCCAGGCCCGTGGCGGGTCTGTGTTCTCTCCACTGCTTCCCAGCTACGTGGGGGTGGACACATATTCACTGGAGTCTCAATTTCTCCATCCGTGGACACAGGAAAAGTGACCTCAATGGCTAAGGAGTGGAGAGGTTAGTGACTAAAGATACTGACCCGGAGACTGGCCTGGAGTTGATGTTCAGCAAATGTTCATTTCTTTCCTGAACACTAAAGCGTGGGTGTCCCTGCCAGGCAGGGGGCTCCAGCATCCTCAGCGCGGGCTGATGCCCCAGACACACTGTGGTCAACCAGCTAATCCTCCTGTCTGGGTCCAGAGGGTTGATAGAACATCCCAAAGGAGGAAGAGGAAGGGGCTGGGGAGGGGGTGATTTAAGGCCCAGGTCGTCAGTCAGACTGACCTTCAAGAGCATCAAGGGGCCTGGACCCTGGTCAGTCCCCTCACCCTCAGATCTAACCAGTGCTGGGTGTCCATAGTCTTTGGTTCCTCATTTGTTTCCAGGCCTTTCTGGGCTCCAGCTCAGATTTTATACCTCAGCAGAAGCCCCAGTGTACGAGTGGGGTCCGGCCCACTGACCCTGCCACACAGCACCCCCAAATCTTGCACCCCACTCATGCCCAAGGGCTCGATCTTATGGGTGTATAACTGGCAACAGTTTGGGGGGCTTTTTCTTAAACCCCCATCTTGGCTACCCACCCTCACCATGGGGGCCACCAGAGAAACAGACCTAAGGGTGAGCTGGTAGTGGCTCAGGGATCAGGAGGAGGCAGAAGGACCCCTTTGACGGCCCTCTCTGTGTCTCCCTGTCCGTTACCACCATTCTCACGCACATCTTTCAGTGCGCACAGAAACCGCAGGTGAGCACCTGCCTTGGAGACAGCCAAGAAGGTGCCTTTTAGAGCGTGGACTTGGGGGAGTGACTGCCATCTCCTCGTCCCTCCCGAGGCTGTTTGTGCCCCTGGGATCCTAGCCCACCTCTGGCCGCGTAGCGGGGAGGGCAGAGAGGCGGGTGGCACCCATGAATCAAGGGAGAGGCCTGCTGCCTGCTGGGCAGCTGGCTCTGCTCAGCTGAGCAAATGGGCGGGTTCTCACTTCAAAGGCACATTCAGCTTCTCCAGCAGCTTTCAAGAGCCCTTTGAATCGAGCCTTTAAAAATCCTCTGTTCATTGCTCTCATCACTCGTTTGTTTTAAAACAATAACGTTCCCAACCCCCGAGTGATTAAATCCCTTCCATGTGGGGCTGACTCTGAGCCAGAATGGCACGAGGGGGCCGTAGCGTGTGTCTGAGCGCACACACGTGCACATTCGGGCGCACACACGCCCTGCGCCCAGACGCCCGCCCCTCTGTCCACCTGCTCACTGGACAATTTGCTCCAGGTCTGCATCGGTGGGTTCATTCCTCAGGCCCACCAGGGGCGCCAGCCTAGAGCATAAAGACTTTTGCTTAGATGGGTGGATCAGGGGCTCCCAGAGATAATGGCTCTGGGGAGGAGGGAAAGGGAGCGGGCTCTTCCCTGAGCACCTGCTGGGCACCAGGCCCTGAGCTGGGGACACCACATCCCTCCTCCCATGTTATCCTCACTCGGCTCCTCTCCTGAGCCGCTGTGGAGAGGCCACCCCCTTCCCAAAGGTCCCCTGCCCTCCGATGCAGGGATCCTGGGTGAGCATCAAGGAAGTCCCACCAGCCGGGTTTCCTCAACTCACCTGCACTCACCCAAAGGCGGGAGATGGCAGGGGGAGAGGGGGCCAACAGTGGGATGAGTGCATCTGTGTGTTCTCATGTGTGTCTGTGTCTGTGCACGCGCGCCCATGCACATCTGTGTATGCACGTCTGTGTGTTTGAGCATGTGTGTCTGTGGATCGGCTTCTCTGTGTGCTCACATCTGTGTGTGTGTGTGTGTGTGTGTGTGTGCGCGCGTGCGCGAGCAGGGGTAGATCCCTTTTTTTTTTGAGTTGGAGTTTCACTCTGTCGCCCAGACTGGAGCGCAGTGGCCGCTCCCGGCCACCGCAGCCTCGACCTACTGGGCTCCGGCGATCCTCCCGCCTCAGCCTTCCGAATAGCTGGAACTACAGGCGTGCGCTACCACGCCCGGGTAATTTTTTGATTTATTGTAGAGATGAGGTCTGGCCAAGTTGCCCAAGCGGGTCTCAAACCCACAGGCTCAGGCAATCCACTCACCTCAGCCTCCCAAGGTGTGGGATTACAGGCCGAGCCACCGAGCCCGGCTAGGGGTAGATTTCTGTGCTGTGAATGCAAAGGAGGGTAATGCAAATCATTGACCTTGGGAAAGTTACTTAACCTCTTTGCTGTAGTTGGGGGATATTGTTTTTGTGAAGATTAAATAAATTAATAAATACACAGTGCTTTAGAACAGAGCCTGACACACACTATTGGAGGAGTGGCTATGATTATTATGGTCATATACACAGATGGGCAGATTAGCTCAGAGAGAGCTCATAGCCTCCTGGCAGGGACCAGCAACTCCCCTCAGTCTTAGTCCTAGGATGGTGCAGCATACAACCTGTGCAACTGTCCACAATGGCCCCGTGAGTCACCCTCTCAGTGCCAAGGAGATAACTGAGGGTGGAGGAGAACTGTGGACAGAAAGAACCAACATCATAAAGATGTCATTTGCTCACACTTTTCTTCACTTTAAACGCACACAGGAATTTTTTCAAAGTCCACATAAAAAACTACCACCAGGAGAGAATAACCAAGACAATTCTGAAAAAGAAGGGCAAAAGAAGAAACTAGCAAGATGCTGAATTGTATTCAAAGCTGCAATAATTAAAACAGTGTGTTGTACAAATAGACTGATGAAGAAATCGCCCCAGAGTCTAGAAATAGACCCCAAAACATATGGGGATATCAATGCGTGATGAAAGTAGAATTTCAAATCAGTGGGTAATAGACCAATTATTCCACAAATGGCAAGGACGCCATTTAGAGATAAAAAGATAAAACAACTCCATGTAGCAAATACACATGTGTACCCCCTGAATCTAAAATAAAAAAATAAATAACATAAGCTCTCTTCCTGACACATTACAAACGCCAAATAAATGCTAGATGGATAATGTTTTAAACATGAAAAATGAAATTCTAAAAGAACCAGAAAAATATCAGAGATTTAAAAATACACAATCTTGGCGAAGCAAAGCACCCGCCAAGTACTTTCTAAGTATTATACAAACTCCAC